GGCTGCTCCAATTTTTGTCTGCTGAGAGGATTGTGTTAAATTTTTATTCAACTAGGATGCATTAAATTGAGGAGAAGTGCAAGTAAAGATTTTTGTTTCAAATAAACACTGTTCATTTTAAATTTTATATTCATCAACGAATCCTGAAAAAAAAAAAACACAAAACAAAATACAAATCAGGAATATTTCTTGAGCAGCAAATCAGCATATTAGAATGATTTCTGAATAATCATGTAAAACTGAAGACTGAAGAGTAATGATGCTCAAAATTCAGCTTTGATCACAGAAATAAAATACAGTGGAGCCGCGTCCCGCCCACACTCCAGCAGAGTCGATCGCAAGCACACACCCCTGACCCCGTTTTAATTAGCCTGGCTGCTCCAATTTTTGTCTGCTGAGAGGATTGTGTTAAAATAAGGTAAATACAACTCCATTATCCTCCTAAAGTTCCCGAAAAAGTCCGTTGGCGCCTCAGTTCACTCAGAGAAGCTGTCAGTCTCAGCTGTCAATCATGACGTCACACTTCCGTTTTTATAGCATCACTTAACTAAAACCAAAATTATTTTAAAAACGAACACTTGAACTTACATCAGCGTGATAAAATCTACATCAAATGACAAAAACCATCTTTGGAAAAAAATTATTTGAAGTGTGTTTAGGAGTCACACTTGCCTCTTTCGCGGTCCAAAGTGACCAAAGCCTTGAAATGTAACTTGTTTTTTTTTCTTCAGGAAAATCAATGTAATATATTTTTGTTCCATAATATTTTTTGATTATTATTTATGATTTTGAGGGAATTTTAACCATCTTTGGAAAAAAATTATTTGAAGTGAAATAATATTTATATTGTCTCATGTCCCATTAGATTACATGGAGAGGGCGGGGTTTATGACCTATACTGGGACCAGCCACCTGGGGGCGATCAAAACGTGATGGCTTCACTTTTTAAGACTCGTGCGGAGTTTTTTTTATTTTTATTTTTTTTTATTAATGAAAATAGAACAAATAACAAACAGAGCATAGCATAAGACAGTCAGTGCTATACAAAGTGTGACATTAATTAGTAACGGGAACTGAAAATAATGTCATAATATTTTAAACATGTTAATGACTTTTTGTTTTTTAACAATTTCAGAGAAGATATAAAACAATCAAATTCCACTAAAAATACCTTAAATATTGGGGATGAATTTAAGCATTTTTGTTTATGTATATAAAATGTTGCCAGCAATATGAATAAATTAACAATGTATTCAAGACCTTTGTTAACATTGTTTTCATAGTACACAATAATATCCTTTAAAGAAAAACATTCTAAAAGACTACTTTTTGTCAAGGTTTAGATAATTTTGGTTAGATAAGTATCAGGTTTTAAATTATGATTACAGTCAAACATTAAAATCTTGTTAGAAAGGGAACACATAGAAAGCATTTTTGTTACTCAGTATTTGATAATTAAAAAATCTAACAAAATAAGGAATGGATAGTGATAATTCAAAACACTTTATACAAACATTTTGTAATTAATTGATATTTTATTCAATGTAATTCAATAAATGCTAATAAAACTTCAGAACAGAAACAATTTTTTTTTCAAATTTCCCATTCATTTCCAATGTCGGTCATTTTTGACCGCGAAGAAGTCAAGTGTGACAATTTTTTTATGACCCTTTAACATATCCGAATCATGTCCATGATTTTTGTGTGTGTTCATATTGCTAATGTGACAAAAGTCACAAAGTGTCATCTCATTCCGATGAAGCTAAGATTTTTACAATTTCAAAATGTTAATTAGCATAGCAATTGTTAAATGAGTAAGGCAACATAGAACATTTAGCATATATCTTCTCTCAAACCAAGCTCATGTTCCACTCATCAACATGATGGTACCCCCCAAAAAACCCAACATAACGGAAACTCTTCTAAATCAGCATAGCAAAATATTAAACACCACTAAATCTCCAAAATACCATTAGTCTTGCACACGCACACACACACACACACATTATATAACACATATTGGCATTTACTCTCTAAATTAAAAGCAAGTTCATTAAAACACAGCTCAAAACAATGAAACAATTCAGAAAAAGAAAGCTAAATACTCATGCAAGGGGACCCTATTTGGTCTAGTGCCCTGCATGGGCACATGAAGGAGGTGTGAGGAGAGAAATTGTGTGAGTAGCAAATTTTACAGGCTAAAAGCACTTGCTGGTCGAATTTGGACAATTTAAGAGTGAGTTTAGAAATATTAAAGTCGCAAGTTAACGGAAATTCTAAGCCACCTATTTGGTTAAAGAGACTGTGTGGGATGTGGTTCCAAAGGGAGTTACGATTAATCAAACATTTTTTAATCCAATTGAATTTAAAAGTTCTATTAACATCACATTTGGGCGGCATTACGCAAATATTTCCACATAGTGACCTAGATGTGTGGGGGCGTGTTAGAACGAGCCGAAAACTTGAAATCGCATCATATGACCCCTTTAAGTGACGTCACCGATTAACAGTACAGCGCATATTTTCAGGTTAAATAAATTAGTCTAATTCCAATAACTCATTGACGAAACATTTACAAAGCTATCAAAACCTCCCGTTTACACATAAAGATGTGATTAAAAGTCAAAACTTTCATAAATAAGAGCTCAATATACAGAGTTAGCATGCCTCTTCTGAAATCAGTTGAGATGCTAACGGAAACACTAAACTATTTTTATGAAGTAAGTATTCAACAGAAGCGTGTCAATCACAAGTAAGAAAGGTGTCAGGAACAGATTTATGTAATATTTGTGTGATTTGTGGGACTAAACTCACCTGAAAACAGTGAAAACAGCAGCGAGAGACATGTTGCAGTTTGTAAGTAGTGTTGCGCCCCGTTTCCATGGTAACTCCCTCCGCTGCAGTGTTTGAATCATCAGACTGAATGGGACTCAGCGAGCACCCATTAAAACACATCACAGTCACGCAGCATTTACATAAATAAACATATAGAAGTTGAACCTAAACAACAAAAAAAATATATTACATTTTGAATTTTAATAGTTTTGTAGTTCAAACACCCCTTCATACTTAGGTGTAAACTGCAACCCACACGTGATAAGTGGGCACAAAGTGGCACTTTTATTTATTATGATTTTTTTGTATATTTTAATTTTTATAAGATTTTGTATTGTTGTTTTTACGAACATTCAAACTATTTATTTCATTTAAAAACGTGCTTGCAGTATTTTTATACTAAACTTTTGCTAATAATTATAACTAGTCTCACTTTTATTCAATGCTTCAGATTCCTTTTAACTGGAACACATAAATGTAAAAAATATTTATAAAACAAAGATGTTATAAGAGCTCAGTAGAAACCTTTTTTACAGTAGAAACCAGTGGTGTACCGACGGAGGCCCAGCCGTGGCAAACCGCTGATGGCTTGCCACCCAAAAAACACCGGCAGACCGACAGCATTTTTAGATTGGTCGGCTTGCCGATGGTGTGCCGACGGTGGTCCGACCGTGTTAAGCCGCTGAATTTGAGCCGCCCAAAAAACAATGTGCTGAAACGTTAGCTTGCTTGCTCGTGTCCATCTGTTTTAAATTCACATGCACTTTTGCACAAAGCAATTTATAAAAATGAAAAATATGTTTTTGTATACTTTTTAGTCTTGAGTGGATCAGTGTGCGGTTAGCCACCCTCTTGCTCTTTATGAATAAATCTCTGACAGAGACTCCTCCCCTATCAGCCAATCATGTGCATAGTAAGCAAGCATGCTGACATCATCCATAGCAACGAGGTCAACCCAGCCCTTACTCTTAACTTAAAACTTCTGTTTATTCCTTAGTAAAAGTTTGTCTCAGCAGCTTTGTGAATAGGTTTTAAAAGAAAACTCTTAGCTAAAAACTTTTACTGCTATTTAGGAGAATCCTTAGTAGTAAGATAAAATGTTTTGTGAATACGGGCCCAGGGGTGCATCCTGTTCCTGGAGATCTACCTTACCTTCCTACAGATTCAGTTCCAACCCTGATTAAACAAACCTGTCTGTAATTATCAAGTGCTCCTTTAGATCCTAATTAGTTGGTTCAGGTGTGTTGATCAGGACCAGGGTTGGGCACCCCTGTTGTTGATTAATAGTGTGTAAAGGGCCAGTGCAGGATTGTTTGCAGGGATATTACATGATAATTAATGATTAAAAGATTGCAGAAATGTTATAAGGGTTTATAAAGGTTTAAAGTGTATTATTCTAAATGAGTTGGCAGCAGAAATCACACAGAACAGAACGAAATGTTATTTAATATTAAGTAAATGAGTAAACTATTTAATGAGTCAATTGAAAACATAATGCCATTGATATGACAACTGAATACAATGCAACATAAAATGTTAATGCCATGATTTCAATAGGCTATTCATAAGGATTCATTTGTTCTAAAAGTCTAAAGTTGTTCATACGTAAATAATTTGCGTTATAGGTTTCGTCAATACGTCTGTATTGTCCGTTAAAATTCTGTGAAAACGTCAGTATTGTACATCTTAGTGTCTGTAAAACGTAAGAAAACGTACGTTTTATTGAACGACATTTTACGTAAAATACATACGAATTCTCATGAGATCACGTTGGTTTATGAACAAATTCCTTCTATTTGTGTTTCAAAAATAAAGTTCAGTGTATTTTTTTTAAATGTTGCATTTATATTTTATGGGTTTCAAAAAAGTACTTATTATCAACAGGCCAAAGGACAAAGATAAAAAAAAAAAAAAAAAATTGGATGTTCCTACACTAGAAAGATATATTAGATAGATTAAACATCTCTCTATCTGGATACATCGATACAAATTGTTGAAAGCAGCAATATTTAAAATTATAGTTAGGGTTAGCCAAGATGTTTAATTATCGTACTATTGGCAGTGATATGATGTTTCCTCATTTGGATCTGATTCCAAATGCCTTGTTTCTATGCAAAGGTTACCCTGTTCTTTCTTATGCCCCCTCCTATAAATAGTACATAAGAACAGGATTACAACCCACATCAGACCTAAACGAGTGATTGATCTGTGCATGTGTATGGTAGATCTGTCTGACTATGGCTTTAATTGAAGCATTACTCTCGCAGGGCTCTGGCACAGGTACAGTATTAGGTGCTCTGCTGTTGTGTTTGGTTATTTACCTGTTCTCCAGCCGCTCCAGCTCTCGGGATGAGGGAAAAAATTATCCTCCGGGACCCAAACCGCTGCCACTTCTGGGGAACCTGCACACCCTCAACCTCAAGAAAACCTACATGAGTCTTTGTGAGGTAAGCAAAAATGTTTCAGACAGCTGATTTTATTTTTGATGATTTGATATAGTGTTCTAACTTTTACTAGTAAACAGGCATAGATTTAGATCAAGGTTATGGATGGATCTCAGGCATTATCCAAAATGAGATTGACAGACAGACAGACAGACAGACAATGTGCTCCCAAATTAAGCCCAAACAGAAGCAAGTAACTAATCAGTGTAGTTAATGACAGGTTGTTTATGAGCTTGACAGTATACTGTAGGTAGTATTAAATGAAACATTTTATTTATTCATTTATTTTATTAGTATTTTGTTTGTTTAGCATTGTTATTTAATGTATACTTAAGTCCAAGTATTGAACTGTGTTTATGCTGCTTCTAAGTCTGTGTAAACAACTTAAAAAAAAAAATGTTTTATTGTTATTTTATTCTCTTTTAAATATAAGGATTATTATTATTATTATTATTATTATTATTATTATTATTATTATTATTATTATTATTATTATTATTATTATTATTATTATTATTATTATTATTATTATTATTATTATTATTATTATTATTATTATTATTATTATTATTATTATTATTATTATTATTATTATTATTATTATTATTATTATTATTATTATTATTATTATTATTATTATTATTATTATTATTATTATTATTATTATTATTATTAGATAAGATATTATTATTATTATTATTATTATTATTATTATTATTATACGAATTCTACTAATAAGAACAATATGACGCACTAAGGATTAATGAGCTACTGGATTCATGAATTTTAATCAGGTTGTGTGCGTTTGCTCGAACTGATTCGCTGAAATCAAAACAGGGACGATAATAGGTGAGCACCAGCCAATGAGATTGCCGTTTGCGCATTAGTTCCGCCTACTACAGGAAAACCCGGCAGTTCTTAAAAGCTGAAGAATTCCAAAGGAACTTTGGATTTGCTGCGCATCCATTCAAATGAACTGAAAAATATCACAGATCGCTTGACGGAGAGTGAAACTCTGAAGCGCTCAGTCAGAGTGTTCTGTGAGTGAAAATATATCTGTGCTAATCATATACTCAGCATCCAACTCACACACTGGCGAGTAAAATCAGAGAATTTATTAGCCATTGGCTAATATTAGACATCATTTAGTCGCCCAGAGTGAAGATTTAGGCCCAATCCCAATTCTATTTTATACCCGTTCCCTTTACCCTAGGGACGTAACACTTCCGTCACACGCTTGAGGAATTTGGCCAATCACAACGCACTGGATAGCTGGCCAATCAGAGCACACCTTGCTTTTTCAGACCGATGAGCTTTGTAAAAATCGACGTGTTTCAGAAAGGCAGGGCATAGAGGAGAAACAATAATGTACAGTATGTGGAAAATAATGTGTTTTTTTAACCTTAAACTGCATAAACAAATTTCTTTACACCAAATACACAAAATAATGTTATTTTTAGCAGCATCATATGACCCCTTTAAAAAAACCCTTGCTACGTGCACTGCATTAGGCTAACCGAGACTTGTCACAGCACTTACATATTATTGCCCTTTTGTTGGTTTTGATTGCTTCTGTTGTCCTCATTTATAAGCCGCTTTGGATAAAAGCGTCTGCTAAATGAAAAAAGAAAGAAAAAATATAGATAGATAGATAGATCTACAATTGGTAACCATTTTATTAAAGCAATAAAGCATTTATTGCTTTAAAAGCAATATTTATTTATTGCTTTATTAGCTATATAATATCATATAATATCATAGCTAAAAAATCAATCTTCTCATCAATGCCCTTCAGTTTACATTGTCAATAGGGTGTTCCCTCTTGTACCTTATTGCTTAAATGGTACACATGCCAAGTAGGCAATCGCTGGCACACATACAGTGTTCAAAAATGACAAATAGGTCACCTAGTTCTCATACGGACTAGGGTAAGAGTCAATGGTAATGAATGACCGTGGAGATGGCCGTCGTGCCAGCGGGCAAATGCACAAAAGTAGAGAGTATTGTGTTAGAAGGTAAGCTGGGACTGAATCCTGTGTTCTAACAATACTTTCTGCTATAAACCGACCAGACAGACCACAGATGAGATGATGCCGATAAATTATATATTTCAATAGCTCCATCTTTTCTGTCTTACAGCTGTCAAAACGATATGGGTCAGTTTACACAGTGCACTTTGGCCCCAAAAAAGTGGTGATATTGTCAGGATACAAGGCTGTCAAACAGGCACTAGTGAACCTGTCAGAGGAGTTTGGAGAGAGAGATATTACACCCATATTTCATGATTTCAACCAGGGATATGGTAAGGCTTTCACGACTTCAGATGATAATTTAATAAACACCTTGTTTTTTCCGTAGATGTAAATGTCAAATTAATTCAGCTCTTTGGAGTAATGGATAAATGATTCCTCTGTAGGGATTGTGTTTTCCAATGGTGAAAACTGGAGGGAAATGAGACGCTTTGCTCTTTCCAACCTGCGAGACTTTGGAATGGGCAAGAAAAGAAGTGAACAGATTATCACTGAAGAAACGCAATATTTAAAAGAGGAATTTGAGAAGTTTGAAGGTAAGACTGCAAAACACAAAAACAAGACGATTCTGTGACTGAAACAGATTTGAGTATTAACATCATGTTCACCCATGTGCAGGAAAACCATTTGAAACAACTCTGCTAACGGCCATGGCTGTTTCAAATGTCATCTCTGCCATCATCTACAGCACCAGATTTGAGTATAGCAACACCAAGTTACATCACATGGTCAAACGAGCTTACGAAAACATGAGGATGACTGGATCTACTTCAGTTCAGGTACCCAGATATTTCTAATGCATTATTTTGTATGTACATTGTTCAGTGGCACATTATGCAGTTTTGCTTGTTTGCAGCTCTACAACATGTTTCCTTGGATTCGTCCTTTTATGGCCAATCAGGAACGTATTGTTAACAATGTCAAAGAAACGGTCAGACAAAGCGAGGAAATAATAAATGGTCTGAAGAAGACTCTGAACCCTCTGGACCCCAGAGGAATCGCTGACTGTTTCCTGATACGACAACAAAAAGATGAGGTACTGCCCGTAGTTTTAAATTACATCGATTTGCTATTACATTCTGACATCTCCTTTTCTTGGCTTTCACCGTCATGATTTCTGCAGGAATCTGGCAAAACAGACTCTTTTTACAATTCAATGAATTTATATTGTACAATCAACAACCTATTTGGTGCTGGTACCGACACTACGGCTACAACTCTACGCTGGGGTCTTCTTCTCATGGCCAAATACCCTGAAATACAAGGTATGGCTGCATCTAAATGCAGGAGTATTGCATTATTTTATAACAATTTGAATAATGCAAGTCTGCAAATCTAATTATATCCCATGCAAAGTGTCAACCACAGTCAAGTATTCAGTAATGATGTTATAAACTCTCATACTGTGGTCTTTCTTGTTCATTTAACGTAGCCAGGGTTCAAGATGAGATTGACCGAGTGATCGGTGGACGTCAGCCAGTGGCGGAAGACAGGAAGAACTTATCATATACAGACGCTGTGATCCATGAAACCCAGAGATTTGCAAACGTAATACCCCTTGGTTCCCCTCATCAGACCACCTGTGATGTTCACCTGAATGGATACCTCATCAAGAAGGTCTGGCTCCAGTAAGAACATGCAGTGTTCTTGATTATGTGTTTGCACCATTTATCATTGATCTTTTGTGTTGTTTTGTGCAGGGTACCAGTGTGTGGGCGCTACTGGCATCTGTACTGAGGGATGAAAATGAGTGGGAAACTCCTGACAGCTTCAACCCAAGTCATTTCCTAAATAAGCAGGGACAGTTTGTCAAAAGGGACGCCTTCATGCCCTTCTCTGCAGGTGCAGTGGACTTCAAATTCACTACTTATAATGTGCCATCGCAAATGCTTTTTGTTAATCCTTTGCTTATTGTTGTTCTCAGGCCGCAGGGTTTGTCCTGGAGAGAGTTTGGCCAGGATGGAGCTCTTTCTGTTCTTCACCTCCCTCCTTCAGCATTTCCGCTTCACTCCTCCTCCAGGAGTGTCTGAAGATGAGTTGGATCTCTCACCAGTCGTGGGCTTCACTCTGAACCCATCCCCCCACAAACTGTGTGCAATCAAACGGTCTTAAAGTTATAAACATGCTGTCGAATGTCTGTCACTTTGTTTTTTTTCCCGCTTGTATATTGCATTTATTCATTTAGATTTCCATTGGAAACACATTCAATGTTTATTACTTTTTAGATTTATAACTATAGTGCTTTTGCTTTTAAGTATAAAAGCACGCTAAATATGTAAATTTCACTTTAAAATCATGCAAATATTGTTGGTAAAACTGATGATAGCATTTACACTTGGAAGCAATGTAAAGTAATAGTTGCCTACAGATGGTTCCTTTAACTAAAAGATGAGGATTGAGAAAAGATTAATCACTACACAAATAAATAAACTTATCAAAATTGTTGGTGCCATTTTGGTTTTTAAATTTGCATTTGCACATTTGGCAGATACCTTTTTTATAATTCTGTTTAATAATATTTAATAATAATAGCAGTTAAATCAGGATCTTGTTAAACTAAAATCAGTTGTTCGTAAATGTCGATTTGATATATATTACTGGTTAACTATGTAGCTAAGATTTAACTGCCTAGAAGTGCAAGTAACTAACTGTCAAAGATTATATTTTCTTGGCCAACATGGTCAGTGAAGATTGTCAATGAAACAAGAAAATAATGCTTTAATCATCATCTTTATGATCGGTGGGTCATGTTCAGCTCGCATTTAAAGTCAAAGAGTGCCAACTTGCACAAACGTTTTCTAACCAGTGTAGCCCGATTAACGACTCAGTTTGAATAAGTCTGAAGAGCGGATACTGAATCAACATCTGATAGCTAAATGATCTGCAAGAAATCAATAGCTTGTTCTCTGTAAAAAATTATAAACCTAGCTACTCCTACAGACCAAGCTCTACGGTGACCAGGTGGGGACATGTTCAGTTCACTTAGTTTTGTCGTCGCCACAAGATCATTTTGCCAAGGTAACGACATCCTTATGTTGTGTCCACACGATGTGGAGTCGTGGCCTTTAGATCCTATGCTGAGGGAACAACATCCATTTCTCATGGCCACGACTTCTTATGTTGAGGGAACGACATTTTTCTTGTGGCCAGTAGTTTAATGCGTAAACAAACCCGCATGACCATAGCAACCTGCAATTATCAGAGATGGATTTATTCATCCCACAGTCTTGTAAATTCATTAACTGATCGTGTCTTTTTATTTAATATTTGTATATTATTACAGTTTTTCACATTTGCTAAGACAATAAATCCCATTCTCTGAACTAAATTCTCAATAGCATAAACCAATTTGTCAAATAAATCACTCTTTCTGCAAAACCTTATCTTTTTTTATTAGTTTAACAAAACTCAAATTGAATTCAGCTGGACACACTTTCCTGTTTATCACAACAAATGGCCAAGCAAAGCGCACGACATAAACCAATTTGTCAAATAAATCACTCTTTCTGCAAAACCTTAAAGGGGTCATATGATGTTGTTAAAAAGAACATTATTTGGTGTATTTGGTGTAATGAAATGTGACCCTGGACCACAAAACCAGTCATATAGGTCAAATTTTCGAAATTGAGAGTTATACATAATCTGAAAGCTGAATAAATAACCTTTCCATTGACGTGTGGTTTGTTAGGATAGGACAATATTAGGACAATACAACTATTTGAAAATCTGGAATCTGACGGTGCAAAAAAAGCAAAATACTGAGAAAATCGCCTTTAAAGTTGTCCAAATGAAGTTCTTAGCAATGCATATTACTAATCAAACAAGTTGCTATCTAATATAACACCCAGATTTTTGACTGTAGAGGAAGTAACAGTACATCCGTCTAGTTGCAAATTGTAATCCAAGAGATTCTGTGTACTGTCTTTTGGTCCAATAAGGAATATCTCAAAGTAAAAGGAACAGAACATCCATACACTCTTTGAACCTGTGCTGGAGTGATGGAAACTTCTGGAAGAAGAGCCTTTGGGTTTCAAGCCGTATCTATGGATGGAAAGGTACGTGCATCACTCCCAACACTTATTGAGTGTTATTACATGCCTGATGACCATTCTGACATTCCATCTCCCACTATTGCACATCAGTTCCCCCATCTGAAGTCTATTGCTCATGAAATACCTGAGATCGATCCATGTGCTCAAATATTGCTACTCTTAGAAGTCCACAAAGCAAGGAAACAGCTCAATGGTCTGAACAAGGCACCATTTGCCCAAAAATTCGATTTCGGTTGGGTGATAGTTGGAAATGTTTGCTTGGGGTCAGCACACAAACCTAGCACAGTTGATGTGTTCCGCACAAACATACTTCACAATGGACGTCCAAGCCTTTGTGAGCCATGTTCTAATCAGATACAGGTGAAAGAGAACTAAGCTACAAAGATCATGCTGTTTCTTCTCAAGGCTGTCATTTGTATTCAACCACTTGTCCAGAGGACTTGCTTTGTAACGATATCTTTAAATGGACACAAGATGATGAAAAGGTAGCCCCTTCCATTGAAGATCAAGTGTTCATGGAACTGATGGACAAGGAAATTTTAATTGATAGCTCTAACAGCTGGGTGGCACTTCTTCCTTTTTGAGTTCCACACCAACAGCTGCCCAACAATAGGGACCAGGGTATGAAACGTCTCCTGTCACTCTGTCAGACACTGAAGAGAAAGCCTCAAACGCAAGAACATTTCCATACTAGCGAGTTGTTTTTTGCCTTTTTAAAGGCAACTAGCGAGTTGTTTAGGTTCCTAGATAGCAACTTGTCTTTTGAAAATCCTATTTCCCATGTTACAAAAACAGTATTCTTCCATCTTAGAAACATTGCCAAGCTACGAAACATGTTACCTGCTTCTGATGCAGAAAAGCTAGTTCATGCATTCATGACCTCTAGTCTGGACTATTGTAATGCACTGCTAGGTGGTTGTCCTGCATCTTCAATAAACAAGCTACAGGTAGTCCAAAATGCAGCGGCTAGAGTCCTTACCAGGTCAAGAAAATATGATCATATTACCCCAATTTTACAGTCTCTGCACTGGCTAGCTATTAAGTTCCGTATCAGTTACAAAATATTATTACTTACCTACAAGGCCCTTAATGGTTTAGCTCCTGCGTACCTAACTAGCCTTCTGCTATGCTACAATCCATCACGCTCCCTAAGGTCGCAAAACTCTGG